CATTTTCTTTTCTTTTTTTTTTTAGTTTAGTTCCTGAATTTATGCTTGTAAATTGCCCAGAGTGAGTAGCTTTATTGCTAGTATTTAGAACACTTGGGAAATAACTACTTCTCAGAGATGTCTTCCAGGTGTAGCTGCCTTCTGGGTTCTGAGTCTATTGCAAAATTCTACCTCTTCAATTTATTGGGGGTTAGAAGTTGTTGCCCTATTGGCCCATCCTCTGGTTCTTTGGCACTGGCCTATAGTATTTTTTATGCCTCTCAGGCAATCTCAGTCTTGATATATGAGGAAGAACAACTGGTTAAAACAATTATACCACTTTGGTTAAAGTGGTACTTCAACCAGCAGCACTAACAATACCATCAAACACGGCCTAGAAAATGACAAACTGAGGTAACTATTAATTTGCCATCTTTAACCATACAAACTAGATTTGTGCTTATATAACAAAATCTAAAATGAAGCAGAAAATTGTATGCAGTAAATAAGCCCTCATTATGACAATTTCACCCTCAGGGGAGAAATTTTTAAGGGGGTTGGGGAGAAAATAGAGACACAGAAGAAGAGAAGAGATTAGAAGCAAGGCGGGAAGACAAAGGAGGATCATGCAAATTTTGGGAAGCTGGTGCTACAACTGGGGGAAATAGAGAAGGAAGAAATAAAAACAAGAACAGAACAATAACAAAGTAGAAACCGTATTCACTCTCATATAAAAATAAGAACAAACAATGAAGGAAAAATAAAATGAAAACAAGAAAAGCAAGAAAGCAAGAAGGAAAGAAAGAAAGGAAGGCTGGGGATATAGTTCAGTGGCACAGCACCTGGCTGGCAAGTGCAAGGTCCTGAGTTTGATTCTTGGTATCAAAAAAAAAGAAAGAAAAGTAAATTTTAAAATATTTAAAACAGAGAAAAGAAAAAAAAGTCCACTTCAGGGTGTGTCTCTGTTGTCCCTGGTAGACAATATGGGTGGACAGCATCCAGGCCTGTGTTGATGAACCCCAGCAAGGCTGCAGTAGCTTTACAGCAGGATAATAAAAAATCCCAGTCAGCCTGCACCTTCATTTCCAGACGGCTATGAGGCTGGCACCAGACCCATTCAGCCTGTAACAGTGCATGTGCCTCCTGTGGGCTTCAACTCAGCTGGGAGCCATTAGGTGCAGCCAGCAGTTGCTGGGTTCTCAGCTCAGATGATCCTTCTCCATGATGGCTTCTGGCCAATCACCCTCTCCTGGGGGATATCTGAACCCAAATAACTCACCAGCCACTGCAGTTTGCTGTGTCCACTGCTCCACTCCACTGCATTTCTTCATGAAGCCCTCTGGGTCATCAGCAGTCACCTTACATCTGCAGATTTCACCTGCCCGCTCCCATGCAATGAGTCTGGACTCAGGGAGAAAGTCCCGCCTACCACCTTCTTCTTTGCTCTCCCCATAGGTTTCAATTCTCGCTTCAGATCCTTCCTGGGTCCTGATGACCCATATCCCTCCTTCTTCTCTTCCTCATGTTGCTATATCCCAGTGTCTGGATATAGCAAATCCAGGATTTGGATCACCAAATCCTGGAGAGACTCTTTCTGTACTGTTCACCACTCTACCATATTCTCAGAAGTCAAAAAAAATTTTTTTTTACTTTGATTTTTGAAGCACATTTTCACTAGTCATGGACTACATGCCAACAGGTTTTCTTTTTCAGGGCCTCACAGTCTTCTCAATTTCAGTTTTTCCAATGTGAAGTCTGCTACCATCCTGCTCTTGTGCCCTCATATTTAATATGTTCTCTCCCGCTGCTCTTAACATTTTTTGTCTCAGTGGTTTTAATTTCACATTTAATTTAATTTTTAATTTCATATAATGTGCACTGCTATAATTTTCATTATACAGTTATTTCTGTGCTTGGGTTCTGTTGAGATTCTTGATCCTGTTCATTTACAGGTTAGACCAAATTTGGAAACATTTCAGCCATGTATCTTTAAATATGTTCTCTATTTCTTCTCTTTCCTCACCTTTAGAGGAGAATTACACATAGTTTAGCCCACTGAAAGCTATTTCAAGCTCACCATCAAAGTTCCGTTCACTTTTTTCCCTATAGTCTTTTTCTTTTCTGTGTTTCTTTTGAATACCTTGTACTGCCATGTCTTCAAAATAGTGTACCTCTTCTGTAGTGTCCCTTCTGCTGTTAATTCCATCCAGCACACTTTTCATCTCAGTCATTGTATTTTCTCCCCTAGTCCGGGGCTAATATCTTTTCACTTCTGAGACAATGTTGTTCTGAGTACTCTAGTTGACACGCTGTACACTAGGATTTTTCACTTTTTTTTGGTTATTGTTTTCCTGATACTAAGCATTAAACCCAAGGTTTCCACACTGAGATGCTTCCTCAGCCTTTTTTTTAAATTTTATTTTTGTATTTTTATTTTGAAACAAGGCCTCACTAAATTGCTGAGGTTAGGCTTGAATTTGTGATCCTCCTACCTCTGCCTCACAGAGTCCTAGGTTATAGGCATGCACCTCCATGCCTAGATATGATATGAGTTTTGTCCATTCTGTCCTGAAATATAAACTGTCCCTGGCCCCATGGAATCTTGGGATTGTACTATATGTTCCTTACTAGTGGTTATGCCCCTGACTTTAGTAGTTTCCTCAGTGCTTGTAAGTATATAGCTGAGACATAGTCAGGCTGAAGATAGTCAAGCTGTTGGCTGGGTTTTACCTGAAGGCTCAACTGGAGAAGCCGCTTTCACATGAATTTGCATGGTCATTGGCAGGGTCCAATTCCTTGTGACCTTTGGTGCTGAAAGCCTCAGTTCCTCCCTAGCTATTGTCCAGAGCTCTGCCTCAGTTCTTGCTGTGTAACCTCTTCATGGGAAAGCTCACAGCATGCTAATCACTTAATCTCAGAAGTGACTGTGCCTTTCATTTTATGGTAGTTATTAGAGATGCATCTGTCAGTACAGCCCACACTCAACAGCATAAATACCAGGAGGGAAGGATTCCTCTGTGCCAGCATCACAAACATGAATTCTGTGTTCTTCTAGTTTTAACAATCAGTCCACATTACTCCTTTGAAAATGTCTTTTTGCCAACAATATGCAATGGAACAACTCAACTGGTGGATTCCTACCATCTTGTCTAGTGAAACTCTGTATTATCTCTAAAGTTTTATCTGATAATTATTTTTTTATTCTCTTCAATGGTTTGAACAATCTTCCATTCTCGCATCTGGTAATCTGAGCAATGTAGTTGAAGATAACAATACGGACTATAACAACTACTGTCAATTTCTATCATTTTGTTTTGAAACCCTGTATCACTTTTAATGTCCTTGCTTTGTTTTGTTTGTGTTTGTGATGCTGATATGCTGCTATTGTTCTTTTTTCTTTTTTTTTCTTTTACTACTCTCTTTAAAATTTAAAAAAAAAAGAAAATGTCTTTTTACTATGGTGCTTTTACTACATTTTCTCTTTAGTCTTCAATAGTCTTACTGTGAGCCTAGAGGTGATTTCTTTAGCATGATCCTGCTTGGAGTCCATGAAGCTTCTTGAATCTGTGGCTTGGTGTACTTCATCAATTTTGGAAACACTCATTATCTTCTCAGATATTATTTCTACCTTGTTCTTTCTTTCTTTCTTTCTTTCTTTCTTTCTTTCTTTCTTTCTTTCTTTTTTTCAAAAATAAGCAGACACTTG